TGACACTGTTTTGAGTGGGGACTCATCTCTTCGTTCCCTTTTCCAAAGGGGGAAATCCACAAGCAGCTTGGGTTTACAGCCATCACAGTGCTATGCAGCCAACATTAGACTCGACAGAAGTCGTCCCTCTATGGAGAGAAAGTAGAAAATGAAGACTCATCTATGTCCACACAAATGAGTGATTCACTCACATCCCTGTCCAGATTCCAGCACCCAGATGCTATACCCATGTTCTCGGACTTCCTGGCAGGATTTACACTCTTGATGCAGCGAAAAGGTGGCTTGATTTGTGATACACTGATTATAATTTATCCAGTTTATGAATAAATGGATTGATGAATGAATTGATTCAATGGAAGGATGAAGAGAAAGATGGCCAGCTGGATGGATGGATAGATGATAGATAGATGGATAGGTAGATAGATAGATAGATGATAGATGGATGGATGGATAGATAGATAGAAGGTTAGATGGATGGATGGGTGGGTAGCTTGGTGGATAGGTGGGTGGACAGATAGAGAAATGAGATGGCGGATGGGGTGAATTCAGTAAGTAGAAAAGTTCTCACCGGCAGACATCCTGCTCTCCATGCTGCCATGGCTTTGCAGATGAAGACGGGTTCTACACATGGGAAACAGGAGCAGGTGGCAGAATGTAGTCTCTTAGGGGAGGTAGAACTCAGTGGCTCAAACCTCTGGTTTTCATCCTAGACCAGCAGAAGGTGAATGGTCCTTTCTGGCAGTTCCACACCAGGCATAGAACAGCACAGACTTCCTATCCAGAAGGCATAGTCCCCAGGGTGACCAAAGAAAAGTCACAGGAGGTCATGGTGATCTGTAACCCCACACAAGGATGAGGAAGAAACTCTGGGGTCCGACTCTAAGAACCGGTTTGCCTCAGGAGTGATGTGCTGCTACCCGCCTCCCAACAAATTCCAAATTTATCTTTGTCACCAAAGAGCCTGACCAATCCCGGCGATGGCCCACCTGAAACAATTCTCGGAAATGAATTTGCTCACAGCTGGGTTAGATCCAACACTTTTATTACATGCCTCTGTGGGGGTTAGATTGCCCCTGGGAAGTGTGCGTTGTGGATGCCGGAGGAATCTAATGTTGTTTGTGTTAATCCAGCCTTGATTAGGCTAGCCTGGTCACCTACCATCCCAGAATCTGTTCAGTCACACCAGGAGATTTTTTTTTATAAGGGTCTCTGTGGTTTGCAAAGGCTTGGGGGAGGCAGTGTTGGGTTTGAACCAAGAGATTCAGAGAGAGAAGAGACATGATCTGGCCTTAAACTGCTCCCAGACAGCAGGCTCTTAGCGCCTAAGCCTCGAGGAGTGAGACACTCTCCTCGAGAGACATCGGAGCCAACACCTGGAAGAGATTGATTGGGAGACAGCTAAATGCATCTGCGTGATTTATGAACCAGGGCTATTGTGACCAAGGTGTGCGGGCTGTTGGGGAGGATCGGATGAGCCTAGCGACTTACTTGGGGTTCCACCCTGGAATGAGGGGGAAGAACCTACAGAGGGGAGTGGGAGCTGGCTCCAAGGCCAAGTGGAGAGGGGCTGTGGGAGCTTGTTTCTAGGGATCCAGGAGCCCGCGCCTCACATTCATCATGCAGATGAACGGCCTCTTGTGAGCTAGCACATCTGCCAGGAGGCCGGGAGCTTGCCCCAGTTCATCCCTTTGGCCTCAGCAAATGCCGATCCAGCTTCAGATCCGCGCCAAGGGTTTAATCCACACGTGCACTGCTGAGAGATCAAGGCTTGGATTTGGGGCTCTCCGTACCCCACTCTTCTTTCCAAGAGCCTTTTGCTTTGTTTTGCTTTTTGTTTGTTTTTGTCTTTTTCAAACAAGGTCTCACTTATGTAGTTCAGGCTGGTTTTGAATCCAGGATACTCTCCTGTTTTAGTCTCCCAAGATGTAGGATTACAGGCAAGAACTCCCCAATTCTTTTTTTGGCGAGGGTTCGAGACAGAATTTTTCTGTGTGTAGACTTGGCTATCCTAGAACTTGCTTTGTAGACCAGGCTGGCCTCGAACTCATGGATATCTGCCTGCCTCTGCCTCCTGGGAGTGCTGGGATTACAGGCATGTGCCACCATCACCCAACTGAGCTCCCCAGTTTTTTTGAGGGTACCTTAATGACCTTTGCAGTCTTTTGGGCATTTTGGTGACTTCTGATGAAGTTCTTTGTAACTGTCTTCTGGAGGTCCTGTGTGGGAACTAGGGAAGAAGTGAGTTCTCTGTCTCACAGGCCTTTGCAGCAAGGAGAGACACGACACCATAGGGTTTCTAATCAGGCAATGAAAATCAAGACTACATTAAATAAAACTCTTCCTCACTGGAAAGAATGTAAGGGCCAGCAGGGATGGATGTCTCCAAGGACAGTGTCTTCCAGATGCTGCAGGACTGAATTACCTATGAACTCACAGAGACTGTCACAGACACACAGGCTGCTCAGGTTCAATCCAGATGCCATCCCAGCACATGGAGGCGGAAGTGAGCGCAAGCTAACCAAGACCCCATCTGTAATTGATACCCACTGACAAGAGAAAAATTAGTTTTCTCCAACGGAATCTCACTCCATGCCCAGGAGTTGTTGGTCAATACAAAACAAATTCAGTGGCATTTTTGTAGGGATTTGGCCTCATTTTGCATTGCAAATTTGCAAGACTTTTTTTTTTGTCTTGTTAGTCTTTTACTTGTATATTCTGGTTTTCATTTTTTGGTGTTTTTATGTGTTTTGTTTTGTAGAGAAAGAGAGAGGAGAGAGGAGTTGGGTGGGCGGGGAGAAGGGGAAGAACCGGGAGAGGTTGAGGGAAGGGAAAAGCATGATCAGAATATACTGTCTGAATGTTTTTTTCAATGAAAGAAAAGTGGGGGAGAAAAGAATCCACCTCACCCCAATAAGAATGGCTGCCATCAAGAATGTGGACAAGGATGGCACAGGAGAAAGAAGCCTTCACTGCTGGTGAGGATGCCAAACAATCCAGCCACTGTGGAAGCAATCTCTAAAAGGAACTACCATGGCATCCCACTGTCTGCCTCCAGAGTCCAAACCCACAGGGGTCTACACGGCCACTTCAGAGACACCTGCACACCCATGTAATATGGAACACTGTCCACAAAAAGCTAAGACACAGAGCCAGCACCGATACCCATCAGTGGATGCATGGACAAAGAAAACCCAGCACAGATACACAGCGGAGTATTATTCAGCCCTAAAGGACAAAGTCATGCAGTGTGATGGAAAGGGAGGGGACCACAGGCCATGCTAAGTGGTATGAGCCAGATTCAGAAGGACAAATGTTGTATATTTCACTCAAGGGCAGAATAGCAGAATCTAGATTTTTTTTTAAAAAGACAATAGAGTAGAAGGGGAAACTTTGGAGAGAGGAACTCTAGTGGGAAGGGTGAGAGGGGACAAGAGAGGATCATGGAGGAATAATATGCTAACGTAGAAAAAGATCGAGGGTCTTTGAACCCAAGAGAAAGAGTCTGCGTCCTGACTGTGCAACCTGGAGCAAGTCACTTAACCTCTCTGAGCATCTCTTACTCATCCATGACATAAATCACAGCTCTGTGTTCAGATCAGAACAGATACAATGACAAGACGATGGTCCTTGACTCAAGAGGCAACCCATCGCATGAACTCAACACAGGAGACCCAAAATAAGAAAAGGAGAAATCTGCCCATCTGAAGCTATTGCTAGTGTTGCACATATACTCTTGGATCATGGATAATTCTAGTAAAGAGAAAAGTTCTATAATCTACCAGATGTTTAAAAAATTGTGTGCGTGCACGCACATGTGTGTGCACGCTATGCATGAACTCACACATGTGTGGTGGCCAGAGGAGAACTTGGGTGTCCTTCTCTATCCATCTCTTCCTTATTCCCTTAAGACAGGATCTCTCACTAAGCCTGGAACTGGCAAGCATGCCCCAGCACCACCGTGGGTACTGCCCTCTAGTTCCCAGAATGCACAGTGCCTCTAGTGTGGCCAATGAGGAAATTCTATCCCATCTGCCACAGTAACTGGTGGGTTCAGGGATGCTCCTGTGACTTCAAACCTGTCCAGTGAAATTCAGCATGGGAGGTTTGGTTGGTGCTGCTGGGATAGGGAGCCCTGACTGTGTGCAGGCTTTGGCTCTGAGTGGAGAGGGTCACACGTGGTGACTGTACTGGTGGCCTGTCTCCTTGAGAATGGCTTACAGAGTAGGTCCTTAGAGTCCTCTCTACAAAAAGAAGTTCGGAAGACAATGAGGATGCTAGTAACTCAAGGCATCCATTCTATTGTGTGTGTGGTGTGTGAACACGTGGAAGCCAGAGGGGCCCATCACTGTGACTTTCCTCAATCTCCCTCCACTTTACAGCCCCCCCCCCCGTGTGTGTGTGTGTGTGTGTTGAGACAGAGTCTCACTATGTAGTCCTGGCTGGCCTGGAACTCACCGCATAAACCAAGCTGGCTTGTAACTCACAGAGACCCTCTTGCTGTGCCTCCTGGGTTCTGGGATTAAAGCTGAGAGCCATCAAGCCCCATTCTACATTACTTTAACTCAAATTTTGCCTTTCAGCCTGGTGTGGCTGGCCACCAAGCCCCAGGGAATCCCCTGTCTCCACGCCCCAGTTCTGGGATTAGAGGTGTGCACTGCCATACCCAACGTTTATAAGAGTGTTGAGGATGAGAACCTGGGTCTTGAGAGTCTTGGTGTGGTTTTGATTTGCACTTCCCTGATGGACTATCTTCATTTTAAAACTGTGTTTATTCAGCAAACATTAAAAAAAATAACACTTAAAGCCTTAAGTCATTTCCTTCTACGATTTCAGAATATTTTTAAGACATGAAAAGATTTAATAAAAATGGGAAATAGCAATGGTACAGCTAAACCCTAAGTCATCTGACAACACATTTAAAACACGAATATCACGTGACTTCATATTAACTACTCAGCAATCAGGCGTTCAAGGCATTAAAACATCTAATGGAGGTCAAGATGGTGCCGAAAGCGAAGAAGGAAGCTCCTGCCACTCCCAAAGCCGAAGCTAAAGCAAAGGCCTTGAAAGCCAAGAAGGCAGTGCTGAAAGGCGTCCTCAGCCACAAAAAGAAGAGGATCCGCACATCGCCCACTTTTCGGCTGCCTAAGACCCTGTGGCTACGAAGGCAGCCTAAATACCCCCGGAAGAGCGCGCCCAGGAGGAACGAGCTTGACCACTATGCCATCATCAAATTCCCCCTGACCACCGAGTCAGCCATGAAGAAGATAGAAGACAACAACACACTTGTGTTCATTGTGGACGTCAAGGCCAACAAGCACCAGACAAACAGGCTGTGAAGAAACTCTATGACATCGATGTGGCCAAAGTCAACACCCTCATAAGGCCCAACGGAGAGAAGAAGGCGTATGTTCGGTTGGCTCCTGATTATGATGCTCTGGATGTTGCCAACAAGATTGGAATCATCTAAACTGAGCCCAGCCGGCTAATTCTAAATATACACTTTTTCACCATAAAAAACAAACAAACAAACAAACATCTAATGGAAGCTTTCCTTGAAATTTTTTTCCCAAGATAGGATCATACTATGTATGACTGTCCTGGAACTCACTGTGTAGATCAGGCTGACCTTGAACCTACAGTGATCCAGTTGCCTCTGCCTCCCTAGTGCTGGGATTAAAGGCGTGTGCCACTATGGCCAGCTTCTACCCATGATTGTAATGACCCATCTGGTCCTAGACTGCACATGGCTGCCACATTTAGCCTGTCCCTGGCTCTACGAGGGAAGCTCTGACCTGATCTATATTTATTGACGAAGAAGCCAAATTTAGACATCATAGTCACATGTTACCATCACAACTCACGTAAGTGGGGCTTAGACTCAGAGTCTCAATGTGCCCAGCCTGCCTGGGCTTGGCTCTGTCCTTGACTTAGGGATTTACAAAGAGCACACAGGGCCAAGGAGAAGGCTCAGAAGGCTTGACATACAGGCATGAGGACCCAAGTTCGGATCCCTAGAGCATCTGTAATGATCATGCTGGGGAGGAAGAGTCAAAAGGTCCCTGGGGCTCACTGGCCAGCCAGGCTTAGCAATCAGTGAGCTCTGCTGGCCCATCCATTGCTCTGCCCTCATCACCGTCGTCTTCCTGCCCTGATAGAAACAGGTGTTCCTCAGTCTCTTGCCTCCTTGGTTATTCATTTGTTGAATTGGTCCGTTCGACAGATCTAGTAGGCAAGTTGAACTTGGTTCCAGATTCTGGAAACGCCTGTTTCTGCGGATTATATAAAGTGAGGAGGACACTGGGCGTGAGTCATCAAACACCCAAAGGAATGAGGCTATCCTCATGGTACAAAGGAAAACAATAGCGAGATGGAGTATCCCCAGGTTGAATGCTCGTTGGGTTCCAGGGTCAGGTGACTCCAAGGGAAGCTTGGAAGAAATGATAGCTGAGTCGAGGTTGGTGATTTTGAAGGACCCATCTACGGAAGCCTTCTGGCTTGTGCCCCCTCACTTGTCAGGTCTTCTTTGTAGAGAAGGAAGGAGAAGGCGCCAGACCCATGAAGGCTGGAGACTCAGTAGGGTAACAAGAACAAAGTGGACTGTGATGGATAGTTTTATGTCAACTTGACACAAGCTAGAGTTATCCAAAAGGGGGAAACCTCAACTGAAAAAAAGTCTCCATCCGATCCAGTTGTAGGACATTTTGTTAACTGGTGATTGATGGGGAAGGACCCAGCCCACTGTGGGTGTTGCCATCCCTGGGCTGGTGGCCCTGGGTTCTATAAGAAAGCAGGCTGAGCAAGTCGTGGGGAGCCTCCATGGCCTCTGCATCAGCTCCTGCCTCCAGGTTCCTGCTCTGTTTAAGTTGCTGTCCACACTGCTTTTGATTATGAATTGGTACATGGAACGGTGAGTGGATAGACCCTTTTCTTCTTAAGTTGCTTTTGGTCATGTGTTTCATCACAGCAATAACCCTATCCAAGACAGGAATCTTCTGCATGGGTCCACTGCTGGGGGTGGGGGGTGGAAGCCTCTTACTGGTTGGGACAGCTGGGGACCTTCTAGCTGGACACTTGAGACTTCCCATCCCTTCTTCCTAAGGTCTGCTTTCCAGGAGACAGTGGGTCAGGCCTTCTCTGGAATATTCAGGACACAGCCATACCCCTTTTCTCCCTAGAATTAGAGAATTAAGCCCTCAGTTACCAAGTCAGGCTGGCCATCACAGCATGACATCAACGCTCTTCCCTTGTTCTCAGCCACAAAGACAGCCTTTTCCTCCACATTTGGCTTCTGAGTCTCTCTGTCTCTGTCTCTCTCTCTCTCTCTCTCTCTCTCTCTCTCTCTCTCTCCCTCTCTTTCTCTCCTAAGGAAATGAGCCTGGATCTCTCCTAGCCTGCATCCTAGACCAGCAGATTGACGTGTGACAGACTCTTTTTCCTTCCTTTAAATCTAACCCGCCCTGATGTGAGTTTTTTTCTTTCGTCGCTACTCCAGGGTTCTGGTTCCAAATCTTGAAACCTAATTGCCGGGCAGTTTTGTATGCAGAATAAGGAACCAGTTCCACTGGCTTCCTTCACAGCATGAAGGAGGTCTGAGCATGCAGTGGGCCAAGCTGAGGCGCTTTGCTTTTGTGCCTCTCTGAGGTGGGATTCACACAGTCCAGCTCTGGGGGTAAAGCAAGGGAGCCAAGGTGTGTCCTGATTCTGGCATCCCCTTATCCCATAAAAACTATCCCTCATCAGTTAAGTAAGGACAGAAATAACAGCCTTTTTGAGATACGGAGGTCTGAATCCAAGTTGGGCATGGTGGTGCATGGCTGTGATGAGGGTCCCCAGGAGGCAGGAGGATGATGACTTTGATAACAGCCTGGGTAACTGAGTGAGGCTTTGTTTCAAAATAAGAAGTTAGAAAAGGAGATACCTGTCTAAGATGCTCGAGGGCCTAGGTCCCAGTTCTCAGTAAAAGAAGGCAGAGGGAGAGGAGGAAGAAGACAATGGGGAGGAGAAAGGCAATGATGATAAAAAGTGTCTGGCTTTACGTGGGTTCTGGGGATTTCAACTCAGGGTTCTCATCCTCGTACATCAAGTTCTTTGCCCATGGAGCCGTCTCCTCGGCTGGAACCCTCAAAGGTGGTTCTCTTCGCTCACCCCCTGCCTCCTCCTTGCTCACACGTGGATTGTTTTTCTCCTTGTGTTAAATGCATCTAGCACACCAAGAGTTAGCTGGGTCCATCTGGAGTAGCCCTGGACTCTGCAGAGCCTGCCCTGGCATGGTCCACCTTACGCAGGACTCAATGAATCTTTCCATTCAGCCTTCCCACTGCAGTGCCAGCCAGCGTGAAGATGTTATCACTGAAAAAGTTCCCAGCCCCTGTGATTAGAAACACTGCTGCCCAGTGGGTCCATCCAACTGCTTCAGAAAGACCCAGCCACTTACCATTTCTTTACTTTCTTTTTTTTCTTTTTTGAAAAAAAAAAAAAAGCTAACAAAACTAATCCATGGCTGTTCTTGAAGCAGGCTCATTTGGAAATAAAATCTTTCCACAAAGTGAGTTTTGGCCACACTTCTTCATTTTGGGTCCAAAAATGACTTTCTGAGAGCATGCTAGCAAAACTCTGGCAGACCTGAAGCTGGAGATGGAAGTGGCTCCATTGCCAGGGAGGGGCGCTCGCAGCGGGGCACACAAACACTTGCTTTTAATTCCCAGAGTTCCAGGCATCTCATTAGACAATTCATCAAGCTCCACACAGGAAAAGGCTTGGTTTCAGCCTCCTTGCCACTACCTGAATCTCAGCCCTGGCTTGTAGCCTCCAGTAATTTGGGTCAGAGCCAAGCTAGGCCTTCTAGCTAGCAACAGACCTGGAGGACTTAGGGACTGGGCAGGACGCTGGGCAGGGGTCTGTGGGCCTGGCCACCGGCCGAGGCTGAACACTGTAAATGGGTTGTGGGGGCTCAGACAGGGAGCAGCGCTGTTGATTGAATACACGCCGTGCAAGTGGGAAAACCGGAGTTCGATTCCCCAGAACTCTCGTAAAGCGCCAGACACTGTGGGGGTATACGCTTGAAATCCCAGCACTGGAGAGGAAGAGACAGGTGGATTCCCTGGGGATTGCTGGCCAGCCAGTCTGGCCAATCAGCAAGCCTTGGGTCCTAACAAGTCAGCGACTCTATATCCAAAAACCAAACAGAAACAAGATGGCCCACACCTGAACAATCCCATCTCGTGTTACCCTCTGACCTTCACAGTACATGTGCACACACGCGTGCACTAGGATGTGACATGGACTTCCAACCCATGGTGGGTGGTGCCCTTACTGGTAGGCTGAGCAAGCCAAGGGAACAAGCCAGTGAGCAGCACCGCTCCATGGCCTCTGCATCAGCTGCTGCCTCCAGGTTCCTGCCTGCTTGAGTTCCTGTCCTGACTTCCTTCGGTGATGGACGATGATGTGGAAGTGTAAGCCCAAGAAATACTTTCTTCCCCAAGTTTCTCTGGTCATGGTGTCTCACTTCAGCAGTCGTTACCCTAACTAGGAGAGAGTGACAAGGACGTTCAAGTTCAAGGGCAGCCTCTCTGGGATGGCACTGGAGCTGAGACCTCAGAGAACGACGTGAGTGAGCCATGCAGACAACACAAAGGTTCTGACGGAGGGGTGGGACTGGCATGCCGGAGGGAGAGTGGAGCCTGGCACCTCTAGAGGGAAGGAAGTCATGTGAAAGTGGTGGGGGCTGGGTCAGGGATGCACAGGAAGGTGCCAGAGGACGACTCTGAATTAGAAATCAAAGCTGGCTCCCTGGCTGTAGTGTCCTGAAGCGAGGGAGGCAAGCTTGGGCCGTTCTTGCTTCTTCCATCATCCACATAGCAGCCAGAGAGTGAGAAGCTGTGGGAAGGCAAGGCAGGCACAGCTGTTGGAAGTTAGACAAAAAGGGATTTAATTCAGGGTACAAGCCAACACTGGAAGGTTCACCCCAGGCCTGTGCTCTTAGCCAGCCAGGATTATCAGTTGCCCAGCTGTCATGATGATCCATGGCTCTTGACTCAATTAGCACTGGCTGTCTCTTTGAGTCTGGGTTCTAAGCTCTGCCTGGCCAAGTCAGGGTGGGCAGAGTATACAGGTCTCCAGAGATGAAGAGAGCATAGAGCCCCTCCTAGAGAGAGAATGAAGTGTTAGTAAGGTCCTATTAAATCAGTTGGATGGGGGAGGGGGATTAAAGGCAGGCCTCCTGAGAACACAAGGGACATTGGGTTAAGAGCAGGAATCTGGATTTTATGTGGTGTTGGAGGGAAGAACATCAAAGGCAGAGGGAAGAGTCACAAAGAAGACAGACCCCTTCGGACGCAGGGAAAACTGGCGTGTGTGGCGCACAGTGCCGACTCTCAACCCCTTCCTTGTTTCTCCGTGTAGAGACTCTGGTGTGAGCACAGCTCTTTCAGATGCTTCCTTTTAAACCCTTGTGGTGTGGACTAGCTG